TGTTATCTTTATGTAAATACAAAGAAGAGCCTTATCAATATTTTGAAAATCAAGATGCTATACTTATCACATGCTCCTCTTTAATGTAAATCAACAAAAAAATCAAACAACAAACACTGTGACCATTTTTACCTAATTTGACTCAAAACTCTGGCTGGATTTGCTCCCATTCTGAAAAAAAAAAAAGGAAAAATAGAGATCAATTTTGGACTTTCATATCATTCAAAGTATGAGGTGTATTCTACCAAGGAAAATCCTGAAAGGACTTTCACATGACTACACACTTTTTGCCTCCCAGATGCATATGGTAGCTAATTTGATTCTTATTGTTTACAGCTGTCTACAGACAATGTTGCACTTCACAGTAAGGTCCATACGTGGATCAAATGCAAGACTTCAAGAACCAAAAGTGCAGCCATTCAATCTCCAGCCCCAGTGCATTTATTTGAAATTTAGGACAAGATGGAGGTGCCTCTTCAAAAGAAGGAAAACCCAAGGGTTTCACTTGTTTTTCAAATTTTGGCCAGATATGATCTTTTCTTGGAGGAAATTTGGGTGTTAACGATATAACTTAGTACTGATAATCTATAATCCAAAACAATTTTTAACAATTGGACCATGCTTGGATTGTAGTCATTTTCCAACACAACTTCAAATTGAAAATAAGTGCTATTAATGTTCAAACTACAATTGCACACAAAACAATTCTAGAAAAACTGATCACTCATCTGTAAAAAAAGCTTAAAGAAGGAAAAGCACTTTTTTCATTCAAAAACTAATTACTATGCTACATTGTTTACTTATAATCTAACAGCTTGATGTTCTAAGTTGAATTTAGAAAACTGTTTAGCCTTACTTGAAAAGCTACAATTGACTTTACTTATTTATGGTGGGTAAACTCAATTTGTGGGGAAAGGCGTTTCCTTTAATTTTTGTAGATAGGAACTTCAAGAACACTTTTTTATAAGCTAGGGCACTTACTGAAGGCTTTACTTCAAAGATTTACAGAAAACCAAAATTTCCAATTAAAAAATAGATTCCTTAATAAGTTACCTGTCAAGTTTATTGATAAAGGCAATACAGGGTACATTGTAACGCTTCATTTGACGATTTACTGTCAACGTCTGGCTCTGTTTTAGAAAACAAACAGAACCATTAGTAATTTAACAATCATATATGGTTATAGTGTTCAATGACAGACTTCTCCAACATGAGAGTGACCAATTCTTTGGTCTCTGTTGGCATCTACCATCTTTTTAATCATGGCTACTTGATAAAACAAATGTTGTAGCTTTATAAGGATGGTACATGTAGCATCTAGGATCTGCAATATGCCAACACTTGCCTGAAAATCAAGGACTGACACTTTCATGTAACAGTTTTGGCTTACAGTGTAGTAACACCTAGTGAATGTTACTTAAATTCTCAGATTCTTCCAAGTAGCTATTACAGCATAATTACATTAAAAAATGAAGAACATTGTACTGAAGTTGCCATACTCTCTGTTGTGTTCATTTTTTCATTCAAATGCCAATTCTTATTCACAGACATCTCTCACCAACAACTTACAATATTCTGTGCTACTGATTATCAAAATTTACTGCTTTCTCACTTTCAGCTGGGTCACATCCTGAGAATGGACCACCACTCAAAAACACTATTGCACAGACTTGCACCACCAGAGGGCAATGCTAGGACACCCATGCATGATGTGAAAAAGCACAGTCACAAGAGCTTAATATGTAGTAGGGGTTGAGAACCTGGAAAGAAGCAATCACAGCTGTGGGCGATAGAGAAGCCTGAAGACAGACAGGAAGAA